TTATGCTTTTTCTCTTCGGCATTTGGCACATTGGTTCTTACCCCCTGAGAAAGTGCCTCCTTGGTTTTCCATTGAAAGTACTGCTTGCTCGCCATTTACACCATTATATAGCTTATCAACTAATTTGTCCCCCCGTATCCAATCACACCCGGTACTTTCTCATTTGAAAGAAGTATGGAAAAGAATGTCCAAATTATTCACATTTGATCCATATCTTAACCAATCTGCTGGTATTTGGTATAACCCCAAACTTTCTATTTCTAAACTACCCTTCTTTTGGAAGCTCTGGTTTCAGAGAGGTATAACAGTGTTGGGGGATCTTTATGAAAATAGTATATTTAAATCATTTGGAAAACTTGCAGAAGAATTTGATTTACCTAGACAGGAATTTTGGAAATACCTGCAACTAAGACATTTGATGGCCAATACATGTGGTTCATTCGCAAAGTTCCCTTTAAGCTGCGATTTTCTGGAGGAAATAAAAAAAAAAACCTTTGGGCGTGGACAAGAGGCATCAGCTTATTACAAAATGCTTTTATTAGCTTCTGATCCTAACACACTGTCCCTCAAAAGAACGTGGGAAATGGACTTAAATCTCAACTTTACAGTGGAGGAATGGAATGGCATCCTCAGGAATCTGAAAAAAATGTCACGCGAATTGAGTTCAAGATTGGTTCAATTTAAGATTTTAAATAGAGTATACTGGACACCCTCACGGTTGCATAGGGTGGGTCTAGCGACTGATGATGCATGCTGGAAATGCCAGCAAGGAAGTGGCACACTTTAACATTTGCTCTGGGGGTGCTCCAAAGTCCAAGATTATTGGATTCATATTCACACTGTAGTAGAGAAGGTTGTAGGTCAAGGGGTCCCATTTATGAACAGTCTTTATGTATTAGGAGACCCTTCAGCTTTGAGTCACTTATCCACTTCTCTTGCTCATTGGGTACAAACGGCGATTATGCTGGGGAGGAAGCTGCTGGTGAAAGAGTGGAAGGCCTCATCGACTCCTACCTTCTCTCAGTGGTATACCTCTTTGGGACAAGTGGCAGCTTACGAAAGATTATCATATAGACTGCCAAATAGACTGGACGACTATAATGATAAGTGGGCTAACTACTTTTTACATACAGGTCAGTGACGTATCCGGCTAAAGTAGTTAAGGTCGGACTAAATAGGATAGCTGTAATGTGGTCTATGTGAAATGTTGGCATCATTTTTTTTTTTTTGTGGGGGGGATGGAAATATGCATTGATTCTCAATTTGTTCTGTTTTTGTTACTGGGAATGTCCATTCTGCTATTCTGCTATCTTTTGGTTTGTTTTTTTTTTTTTTTGGGCGGGGGGGTGTTTGTATATTAAAATCTAATAAAGTTTGAGTCATAAAAAAGTCTCTTTCTTTGACCTAGAGAGAATGGTTCTAAGAGCTTCCTGGCCTCTTAATTGCCTGAGCAGGTGAGATAGAGGGAGTTGTCAGAGTCATATTGGGATACACAATCTTGTAAGTCTTATTTGAGGTATCTTTCTCTGTCTGAAAGAAACAGCAGAACCACAACCCAGATGTACACAGAAGACATTAACTGTCTCCATCCTCCAATCAAATGACTCCACTGGTCTCCACTCTCCCAAATGTTTCAGCTCCAGGATTCCTTCACAGCGACTGGCTCCTCCCACAAACCTGACAGGCTCTGAACAGAAAGCAGAGAGTCATCAGTAAAGAATAAAGCGAGTTTGAACCACATCAAAGCTGCAGCTCCTCTTCTACCTGAGCAGAAGAACAAAAAAAGTTACATACTTAGAAGTGTCATATATTTTTACCTTGTACAACAGGTAGGTGTATAAGACTGCTTAACAGTTACACAGTTTTTAGTGAAGTCTTTGGAAGCAGAGATCAGTCTTCATGAAGAAAGTACAAAGTCAAAATTTGTGGTAACCCTACAGAATCAATCATCAACTACAAAGCACACGAGAGTTATCTCGACAGAGTTATAGTCAAGGTCAATGTGTAGTATCAGAAGCAGTTAACATCATGATGTATTTAAAATCCAGGCAGCACATAATGTCAGTCACTGTAGTCAGTTGTTATTCTCTCAGAGCAAAGCTTCATGTACACGTTAGAATGAACCATTACAGTTTTTTACAGACGCTAGGACACATTTCTCAATACTTAGGTCACGTTTGCAAAACTCCTCACACGTTGAGCACAACAGAAGTCTATGTGGGCTAAACTGAGGACCAGTTATCATTGTTTTGGCACAAAATGCATTCAATGACTACATCTCTCAAATTTCATGAATTATCTTCTCACTCAGACACAACAACTGCCAAAAATCTTTGTACGTACAGGACATTTTGCATGTGCTTACATACTGTTTTCAAAACTGTTAAACTTATGGCCAAAACAATAACACAATGCAAAACTTAAAAAGACAGCAAAATGCAACAGCAATATTTTATTGAAACATATTTTAAATCTAAAAATGCAGTTTAACCAGCCACAGCTGATTCTCATTGTAGATGAACATCTACACAGGTGTTACTCCTTCAATTTTTCAACTCCTTCAATTCTGGCAGCCAGACGATTATTTCCTAGGTGTATTACCCTAGATGACATAAGATGTGATGTGGATGAGAACCTGTGGCCAAATGGAGAAGACCGAGTAGATTAGCATTACTATTGTATGTGTATCAGTGGATGGTGTGTATACAAATTCTTGTATTTTGGGATTACTTAGTGCAAAAAAATAAAAATACATAAACAAATATTAACAAATTCTGCATGATGTCTGATTCATTCCAGTAACATATATTGAAATTATAAACAGAAATGTGTCCTTGTTTTACACAAGAAAACACTGTGTAATGCTACATGTTGTTAGTGTTTTTTAGGTCATTGTTTTGTGGGTGATAAAGTGTGTTTGTCGGCTGTCAACCTTTGCTAGTGTTCTGGAAGAATGAGTTTATTTGAGACCTGAATGAAGTGTTTTGGTAGTTGTAGTGCATTTTGAATGTGGAATGAACCGCTTTGCCAAGCCGACGGTCAGTTAGGAGGATTGTGTGAAGAGTTTTGCAAAAGTGACCTAAGTATTGAGAAATGTGTCCTAGCGTCTGTAAAAAACTGTAATCTGAGAAAATCATCATTCCCAGCATCGGCGTAGTCGAGTTTATGTTTAATCACTCAGTGCAGAATCAGAAGACCCACATACGTATCAGCAAGGTGACAAGTAGGGACTTTTATCCTTTGGCTGCTCAGTTCAAACAAGCAGAGACAAAGGCTCCTTCAGCACCTAACTGTGATTCCTGTAGCACAATCTCTAAAACTATTCAGACTTATAGCAAAACCACTCACTGAGTTTGCAAAACTAAAAGCACAAAAACTGCTTTGCACTCAGTTTGCAATTTTGTAACACACACTTTGCAAAACTGTAGGCACAATTCACTGCACAACACTCAATTACCAAATTTCCAACACACTCCTAGCAAAAGTATACACATGTATGGCTATCATTAACACTAATTTGCCAACTGTCTGGCACACTTTCACATGTGAAAACTTCTTTAGATAATTAGTTCACTTTGCAATCAGCCTAAGCACTATAATACAGGTAAGCTGTGTGTGCGGAGTACAATGGAGGGAGCAGAAAGAGTGAGAAGTAGAGGAGGCCGAGGAAGAGGACGTGGAGGTGAAGAAGTAGGATGAAGAGGACGACAAGGACAAGGAGGAGCAAGAGGAAGACGAGGAGGGGGAGAGGAAGATGAGGAGGGGGGAGAGGAAGGGTAGGAAGAGTAAGAAATAGAATTGCTGATGACATCAGAGCTACAATAGTGGACCATGTAATCAACCGTGGAATGACCCTGAGGGTAGCTGGCCAACGGGTCCAGCCTAACTCGAGCCGCTACACTGTAGCAAGTACCATAAGGACATCTTGAAATGAGAATCGGTTAGTACAGTCACTTCGCACAAAGATTTGTAGCACTGCCGTATGCCAATGAGAAGCACACCAATACCATTGATGTAAAAATACTGAAATTGTTACTTTACAGAATTGCTAGATGACCAGATGCTGGGGCAGAGGAAGCATGTTCACTGCAGACCAAGTAACCCATATAGTCATTATGGCGATTGCAAATAATCCTATACTTGGAAATAAACACTTGTGTTTGTTTTGATGTGTTTGACTAAACACCAGTACTTGAAGTTTGGATCCCTCTATGCTTATGGATCTATGACAGAAGTATGAGCTCAAACTGACATAGCCTACCTTGTGCACAGAGAAAGCAAAAGCCAGATGTGTTTTGTATTCATACCATCAGTGTGCAGTTGGCGCATTGTGTGCTTAGTAGATGATGGCTTGTGTGTACTGTTTGATACGGAAACACCATTTTTACGAAGGTGTGAAGAGTTAATCTAGCTGTGTTTGCTTTTGCAAGAGAACTACAATGTTTTGATGATTGGGTGACAGGTTTTCTTATTTGTGTGAAGAGTTTTGCAAAATTAGCCAATAGTTACAAAAAATGTGCTTAAGCAATCAGAAAAAACTGTATGTCAGAGATTACTGGAAATAGGCCTTGCAGACCAAGCAGTTGGCTGGTTCTCTAATTATCTTTCAGACCATAAGCAATGCGTGCAGTTCAGTGGTCTCTCTTCCAGTTTTTTAAATATCACTAATGGAGTCCTGCAGGGTTATGTCCTGGAGCCTACATTATTTACTATTCGTGTCATCAGTGTGGGGAAAAAACTACATGCAGCCTTTCTATTGAAACTATGGCCTCATACAAATACCTAGGTATTGTGATTGATGGCAATCTTTACTTTCTGACCACCAATTAAAGACAAACTAAAAAAATTTACTTCAGGCTGTGCTCGAAAGCTGATCAGCTAAGATCCTCCCACAGACTGTGGACTCTCTGGATGCTAGTGACGATCAGAAATAGAAGAAAAACCACAAACTGTCTCCATGTGTGAACAGGTGAGATTCAAACTGTATTCATGCTGACATGAAAAGAGCAGAGATTTGTTTCAAACACAGTACGAAAACTACAGAATAATTCCAGTTTTATTAGTAAAGGGAAGTAAAATCTTTCACTGAGATAATGGTCAGTTGTGTTTCTGCTGACAGATTAATCAAGATGTTAGGTGAGCTGCTCAGACGTCCTCCTGTTCTCCATGAGCTCCTTCGTCTCCACAAACACCAACTTTACCGTCCACCATCTCAGTGTGCTCCTGTCTGCTGGACCTCTGCTTCCTCCTGTTCTGGAGTGGCACACAGATTAGACTGACTGCATCACTCCTCACTTCAGTTCAATGAACAGACTTCATTCCTGCTGCTAAAAAGATTTATTCTTTACCTTACAGCAGAAATATAAGACGATGTTCTCCAACAGCAGAATCAGCGGCAGGAGGATCACTCTGACGGTAAGACCTGTGTGATCTGATCAGACACATCACAACCATCATGAGTCCAACAGCTCAGGCTATAGCAACATGAAAACAGAATAAACCTGTTTGAGTCAGTTACCTTTGAAACCTAACAAATATTAACAAGCTCAATTAACGCTGCTGCCTCTTGGCAAAGGACACTCTTACAATTAATCTTCATTTTTATTCTCCAGATATTTTATTGCTTGTTAAACTGAAGCTTATAATATGCATGTGAATTAGATTTTTTTTTGCTGTGTCACCTCAAAATTTATGTTTTGTCAAGTGTTTGTCTTTTTCCTTTTTCTCTTTTCCTTTTGTCCTCAAACTCATGTTGATATTGATGGCTGATGTCAGCTTCAGCTTACCTGAGACAACGACAGACAGCAGTCGGCTCTCAGAGGAGACGTTATGAAAAAAAACATGAACGTGATAAACACAGCTGTAGTTTCCTTGGTGGGCGGGTTCTGCAGCAGGAAACAGGAAATGGGCAGAGTGATTGACAGCTGCTTGGGTGTATTTGTATGCTTTGTTGAAGGTAAGCTGAAAGGAGCCTCCAGGGTACTGTGGCTGGATGAAACAACTGATGGTGAAGTTGGAACTTCTGGATACCCGAAACCCCTGCTGCTGGGCCTCAGAGACCCCGTCATTGGAGGACAAAGAAATGACTGGCTGAACAAGCAGGTCTGTAGTAGACAGAGATGATGTAGATAACAATGAAAGGTGTGTCATGTCAGGTGAGGTTCAGTAGTCCATGGAGGATTTGAATCTTTTCAATTCACTCCAATGGAAAACGTTAACTGTCGCTGGACACATGAGTGTTATTCATTGTGTCACAGATTATGGTGCGCTTACCTGAGCAGGTGATATTCACAATGGAGGAAGAGTCATTTGATGTTGCACAGTCTCTCAGAGATGATCCAACCTGAACACAGTCAGGTCTCATCACCCACACTGGCAAGTCTGAGGACTCTACCCTATGTCCTACAGAAACAGCTAAGCCACAGTCCAGTTGTTCACACACAACAGCTGCTTCCTCCAGGGTCCAGTCAGAGACATCCACTGGTCTCCACTCTCCCAAATGTTTCACCTTGAGTGTGCCTGCACACCGATGGGCTCCTCCCACCAGCCTGACGGGTTCTAACAGAAGCAGAGAGTCATCAGCAAAGAACAAAGTGAGTTTAAAAAAAAATCAAAGCTGCAGCTCCTCTTCTACCTGAGCAGGTGAGTCCAACAGCTTTGCCAGGTGAGCAGCTGTTTCTAGCTGAGCCTGAGCTTCTACAGTCCAGGAGAGCAGACTCATGGCCTCCACACTGGAACTCTTTGCTCCACACTGGAGCCTCCACTTCTCCATAGAGTGCCCCCTGGAGGACCGAAGGAGGCCCACAGCCAAGCTCCCTACAGACCACCTCTGCATCCTGCTGGTCAAAGTCAGCTTCACACACTGAGGACCAGCTCTGATTAGACTTCACCTCCAGTCTGCCTGAACACAGACTGGAACCATTCAGCAGCCTGACAGAGTCTGGAGACATCAGAGAAGATCAAACAGAAATTTATTTACCATTTAGAGAGGGACCAGAGGAACATGTCACCGGGTCTGCCGTGGTGTTTCACAGACATATTACTGGAAATGCTAAGTAAACTCTCTATACAGCTGTAAAGAGACTAAACAGCCCTCAACAACGGACCCAACATCCCACGCTCCTGAAACACCTCTAACAGGACACCCACAGGAATATGGTTGAATGCCTTCTCCAACTCCATAATACACATGTAGACTGGTCACTCAAACTCCCACACATGCTTGAATATCAGAATCAGAATATCTTTATTGTCATTGTAACAAGTACAACGAAATTAGGTGCAGTCCCTGCAGTGTCAAGAAATGAAAGTTTAAACATGATTACAAAAGAATAATATAAAAAAGGTAGAACACAGTCATTCAGTAATAAATAAAACCTTATTGTACATTTAACACTATTGCACAGGATGTCATCCATTGCACTGTACTTGTCAGGTTAAAATGGAGGTAATTATGGGTCATTCAGTCCCCTAACAGCTACAGGGTACAAACTGCTATTCATCTATTTGTCTTTGCTCTGATGCTCTTGCATCTTTTGCCTGATGGCAGCAGTTGGAACAGTTTATGTGCGGAGTGTGAAGAGTCTTTTATGGTATTTTCTGCTTTCCTGAGACAGCGAGAGCTGTGCAGTTCATCCAGGGAGGCTGAAGAGCAGCCGATGATCCCCTGGGCAACCTTTATAATCCCCTTAAGTGTTTTCCTCTGCACTGTTCTGCATCTGGAAAACCACAAACAGTGGCAGTTGCACAGGATGCTCTTGGTAGAAGGACACCAGCAGCTTTTGAAATAAAGACTTTGCTGAGCCTACTGACAGCTCTGCAGCATCGTTCACACACCAGGATAGGTCCTCCATGACGTGAAGCAGGGAAGCAGAAGTCCGACACAATCTCCACCCCATCCCTACTGATAAAAAGTGGTTTAATGTCTGTTCTCTTATCCTGAAATCTACAGTAATCTCCTTGGTCTTGGTTGTGTTCAGGAGCAGGTTGTTGTCCCTGCACCACGCTGTCAGTCACTCCACTTCGTCCCTGTAGGCAGACACCCCCAACCCCCCCCCCCCCCCACAGTTGTAAGTGTACGGCATGAAAGGCAGAGGGCTCAGGACACAGCCCTGGGGAGAGCCGGTGCTGATGCTGATGGTCGAGAAGATGTGGGGGCCCACCGTAACCCTTTGTGTGCATTGTGTTACAAAGTCCTTAATCCAAAGACAGGTGGAGTATAGGAGTCCTAGGGCTGACAGCTTGCTCACCAACCTGTGAGGGAGGATGGTGTAAAAGGCAGAATTAAAGTCAATAAAGAGGAGGTGTGTGTAGCTCCCCTGGTGCTCCAGGTGGTACAGGGAACAATGAAGAGCAGCAGCAACAGCATCCTCAGTAGACCTGTTAGCCCTACAACCAAATTGGTGAGCATCAAAGGTGGAAGGGATGAAGGACATGATATGACTCCAAACTTGTCTCTCAAAGCACTTCATATACTCAAAAGGATAAAGAGTTGGTCCAATGATCCACAACCAGGATGAAAACGACATTGTTCCACTTGAATCTGAGGTGCAACTAACAGATGGACAATCTTCTCCTGGCCCTTGGCGTAGACCTTTTACTGGCAGACTGAGGAGTGTGACTCCCGGAAGTTGGAACATGCCCACCAGTTGCCTTTCTTGAAGATGGGAGCCACTGCTCCATTCAGATGACAGTGCCTCTCAACTGTCTGAAAGAATCTTATAGAAGTGTGTCAGCCAAGACTGGCCACCTGCGTTTAGAAGGACACCTGTTTCTTTTGCTATCAATTTCTCTGTTCAGTGGCCATTCGTGATATACTGGGTACATCTTTACTTGGTTTTCTCTGTTTATATAGCATAGCACCACTGGAAGTCATTCATACCCCCTCTGTCTGTAACATTCTTCATTAGCTGGCTCTGAGCTGGATCTTTCTGATATATATTTTAATGCCCTTACTACCATCTTCTTTCCTCACTTTTCTTTTCCTGACTCTAACCTAACAAAGTACTGACAGAAATTGTAGATTCGATCCACATAAAGAAAATTATTTGGATTGAAATGATATGCTTACCTGTGCAGTTGAGCTTTATCATGAAGGAAGATGACATGAATGTTGTACACGTCCTTAGAGCAGATCCAGATTTAACACAGTCAGAGCGTACTGTCAGCGGATAGAATCCAGTGGCCTTTGTCCGTCTTACAGAAACAGCAGAGCCACAATCCAGATGTGCACAGACAGAAGCTGCTCCCTTCAGGCTCCAGTCAGAGACATCCACTGGGCTCCACTGCCTCATATAATTTACCTCTAATGTACCTGAGCAGCGACTGGCACCTCCCACCAACCTAACAGGATCTGAATAGAAAGGATAAATTCATCAGCAAAGAACAAAGTGAGTTTGAACCACATCAAAGCTGCAGCTCCTCTTCTACCTGAGCAGGTGAGTCCAACAGCTTTGCCAGGTGAGCAGCTGTTTCTAGCTGAGCCTGAGCTTCTACAGTCCAGGAGAGCAGACTCATGGCCTCCACACTGGAACTCTTTGCTCCACACTGGAGCCTCCACTTCTCCATAGAGCGCCCCCTGGAGGACCGAAGGAGGCCCACAGCCGAGCTGCCTACAGACCACCTCTGCATCCTGCTGGTCAAAGTCGGTTTCACACACTGAGGACCAGCTCTGGTCAGACTTCACCTCCAGTCTGCCTGAACACAGACTGGAACCATTCAGCAGCCTGACAGAGTCTGGAGACATCAGAGAAGATCAAACAGAGAGATCAGAGACAGCAGACACACAAGAAAAAGATGGCAGCAAACAACTATTCACTGATTCAACCTCGGCACAACTCAACATGACTTCATCATTAACAACAGAACACATCTTTATAACAGCACGCACTGGAGACATGTTGAGATGAGACAAGTTGTTCTTTTTTAAAAATATTTTGTTGAATCATCAGATTCTGAATTGACCTCAAGATGGTCTTCAAAGTTGAGTCCAGAACTTCCAGGGCTGTCAGCTGTTTACTTTTGCTGCTAATTTTGTAAAACTCTGAAAGGAAACTTTGTAACATGTAGCTGCAGTCTTGTTTGGACTCCTTTGCAGAAACTTGCCTTGCTCCTTTTCTGCTGAATTTCCACTAAGGGTGGGTGGAGTTTGCCCACAGAAACACAAAAGTTCCCCATCAAAACTGATAACAACCCGCTCATTCTCGCACTTTATACACGAGGTCAATAGTGTGTGTGTGTGTGTGTGTGTGTGTGTGTGTGTGTGTAGGTGTGTGTGTGGGTGTGTGTGTGGTTTGGGTGAAGTATGTTTCACAGTCAAATTCAAATAGTTTTTGACCCCTTTAACCTCCTCTTTGATGTATCTATGTAATATAAACATGCAGACCAGAGTTACAAATATATAACATGAACAAATATCATTTTATATTTTTATTACACTTTTTCATATTAAAAAAGTACTTTGAACTAACACAACATGACGGTAGGGTTAATTAATGATACAAGTTATTTATTTTTCCTCAGATAAGCTGTGTGTTTAATGAACATTATTCCTGTTAATATGTTTGAAACTTTATATCATATGTATATTTTTGTCCCTGGGGACAGCTTCACACAGTATATGGGCAATAATGTGTTTAATTACATCCTGACAAAAACTAAAGCAGAAAGCTAAGTTCTCCCTGTACAGCATCAGTTAAAGAAACTTTAGTAAGATCACTGTCAATGATGCCATGCATTTAAGAAAAATAATGTAATCATTTGAACATATTGTATTCTATTGCCAGTTATAGCTCATGATCAATGTGTGTCTTTTGAGTAAGCTTAAAGTTAGGATAACTGTGGAAACATCAATATACAAATGTTTAGATGACACCAACCGCTGCAAGTAGAAATCATGTTTATGTCCACAGAATTTTTATTTGCTTACCTGAGCATTTAAGTTCTCTGAATAGGCCTTTTTGTGAAAATGTGATGACAGAGAAACTCAAACACTCTCTCAAAGGAGATCCAGCCTGAGCACAATCACGTTTTATTTCCCAGTGGTCTGAGACTAGCCCGGAACGGGACATGGTCATTCCCACAGCAAAGCCACAGTCAAGACGTTCACAGAGAGCAGTGACTTCCTCCAGGTTGTGTGCAGTATTAATCACATATCTCCACATTCCCAGTTGTTTCACCTGCACTTCACCTGCACAGCGACTGGCTCTTCCCACCAGTCTGACATCATCAGGCTCTGAACAGAAAGCAGAGAGTCATCAGTAAAAGAATAAAGTGAGTTTGAACCACATCAAAGCTGCAGCTCCTCTTCTACCTGTAGCTCAGGTGGCAGAGCAGGTCAGCCACTAATCAGAAGGTTGATGGTTTGATCCCAGGCTGCATCCTGGCTGCATGCCAAATATCCTTGGGCAAGATACTAACCCCATGTTTGCCTACTGGTGGTGGTCAGAGGGCCCGGTGGCGCCTGTGTCCGGCAGCCTCGCCTCTGTCAGTGCGCCCCAGAGCAGCTGTGGCTACAATGTAGCTTGCTATCGCCAGTGTGTGAATGTGTGTGTGAATGACTGAATGTAGTGTAAAGCGCTTTGGGGTCCTATGGACTAGAAAAGTGCTATACAAATGCAGGCCATTTACCATTTACCTGAGCAGGTGAGTCCAACAGCTTTGCCAGGTGAGCAGCTGTTTCTAGCTGAGCCTGAGCTTCTACAGTCCAGGAGAGCAGACTCATGGCCTCCACACTGGAACTCTTTGCTCCACGCTAGAGCCTCCACTTCTCCATAGAGCGCCCCCTGGAGGACTGAAGGAGGCCCACAGCCGAGCTCCCTACAGACCACCTCTGCATCCTGCTGGTCAAAGTCAGCTTCACACACTGAGGACCAGCTCTGGTTAGACTTCACCTCCAGTCTGCCTGAACACAGACTGGAACCATTCAGCAGCCTGACAGAGTCTGGAGAAAGAAAAAAATGCTGCTGCTGAAAACCATCATCTAAGAAAACTTGCATATGTGTCAAACTGTTGAATTAATGTCAAACACAATGACATAGATTATGTCACTAATAAGCTCACCCAAACAGGTGAGAATCAGGGCTGTATAAGAATTATCTGGTGTTGCACACTCCCTCAGAGTAGATCCTGACCAAACACAGTCAAGTTTGATCTTCCATAAAGATGCAGACATCTGCGGTTTCAATCCGAAAGCAACAGCAGAGCCACAGTCCAGATGTTCACAGACCACGGCTGCTTCCTTCAGGGTCCAGTCAATGACATTCACTGGTCTCCACTCTCCCAGATGTTTCACCTCCAATGTACCAGCACACAAACTGGGTCCTTCCACCAATCTGACATCATCAGACTCTGAACAGAAAGCAGAGAGCCATCAATAAAGAAATTTACTCCTGAAAATGTTAAAGTCAACCTTTCCTGCTGAGTATTTTATTTTTTTGTTTTGTTTTTTGTTCACCTGTTGAGTTGTGTTTCCCTTCAGCTTGGACTCCTGAAGAGAAAACCAAAGAAAACCATCAGTTTGAAGCCAGATGTGCCAGATCAATAAGTGCAAGCTACATGTGTGGAATGAATAGTGCATTTTAATGATCAAGAGTGGAGGCAATAATGGGTAAAAGCAGCAGGAGTAATGGAGGTAGACGGCAGGTGAATTCATGAATGCATGAATCCATTACATTACCCAGCACATCGGACTAAAAGCGTTGCACAATAAACTACTTTTCTAAACATACGCTTTGAAACATCCACATCCATCCAGGGGTAGAATGTGAAGCACTGGCCAAGCTGTCCCCATTCTTTGGGCCAAAAGCTGAGCTCTCAGTGGCTGTGGCTCAGGTGGTAGAGCAGATCAGCTACTGATTGGAAGGTTGGTGGTTCGATCCTTGGCTTCCCCAGTCTGCATGCCAAATATCCTTGGGCAAGATTGTAACCCCAAGTTGCCCTCCGATGCGTTCATCGGAGTATGAATGTAGTTTAGTTTGCACTTGTGTTTAGAAGTGCTTGTATGAGTGGGTGAATGAGGCATGTTGTATACAGCGCTTTGAGTACTCCGGGAGAGCTATATAAGAATCAGTCCATTTACCATTCAGTGCGTTTTTCAGCTGTGCTGCTTGATTTCCCTGTAACTAAATTTTCTGCAGTGAATCTGTGAGAGAAGAGACTCTGTCTACCCTGCGTTCTATGGCTCATCACATTCATCCCCCTGACAGTGAGAGGAGCAGCACAGTTTGATGTTAAGTTCAAATTGACCGGTTTTGCAGAGTTTCTTATTTTCCTTTGATCGTCAGATATGAGTGTGTGATGGACCGAGTTGAAAAACAGGAGTCGTCCCAGGAATTATTAGAAAAATATAGTTTCCATTTATTTAACCCCCAAAAATTATATTTACAAGAGTAATAAATGTTGAGCTCATAAAACAGGTCAAAGAAACAAAACTGAACTCAGGCAAAGACTGCAAACTTAACAAACCAAATGACTGCCCAAACATACATAATTGACCTAAACATGAAATGACATACAAGGGTATAAACAAGGAAGTGCAGAATTATTAGGCAAGTTGTATTTTTGAGGAATCATTTTATTATTGAACAACAACCATGTTCTCAATGAACCCAAAAAACTCATTAATATCAAAGCTGAATGTTTTTGGAAGTAGTTTTTAGTTTGTTTTTAGTTTTAGCTATTTTAGGGGGATATCTGTGTGTGCAGGTGACTATTACTGTGCATAATTATTAGGCAACTTAACAAAAAACAAATATATACCCATTTCAATCATTTATTTTTACCAGTGAAACCAATATAACATCTCCACATTCACAAATATACATTTCTGACATTCAAAAACAAAACAAAAACAAATCAGCGACCAATATAGCCACCTTTCTTTGCAAGGACACTCAAAAGTCTGCCATCCATGGATTCTGTCAGTGTTTTGATCTGTTCACCATCAACATTGCGTGCAGCAGCAACCACAGCCTCCCAGACACTGTTCAGAGAGGTGTACTGTTTTCCCTCCTTGTAAATCTCACATTTGATGATGGACCACAGGTTCTCAATGGGGTTCAGATCAGGTGAACAAGGAGGCCATGTCATTAGTTTTTCTTCTTTTATACCCTTTCTTGCCAGCCACGCTGTGGAGTACTTGGACGCGTGTGATGGAGCATTGTCCTGCATGGAAATCATGTTTTTCTTGAAGGATGCAGACTTCTTCCTGTACCACTGCTTGAAGAAGGTGTCTTCCAGAAACTGGCAGTAGGACTGGGAGTTGAGCTTGACTCCATCCTCAACCCGAAAAGGCCCCACAAGCTCATCTTTGATGATACCAGCCCAAACCAGTACTCCACCTCCACCTTGCTGGCGTCTGAGTCAGAGTGGAGCTCTCTTTTTTTTTTTTTGGCCTGTCCCATTTGGTTCTTTAGCCGTCAGAATTGTTGTCTGAAGACCAACAAGGATACCCAATGGATTTACTTTGCCAAATGGATCATCGTAGCATTGCCGTATTGGTCCATTTGATCGACCTTTGTTTTTATTATTTATTATATTTTATTTTCAGTTGTTACAGACGGGACAGACATGAGTGAGGGATAGGAAAGGGAGAGGGAAAGAGGAAGGAAAAGAAAAACAGAAGGGGAGAGGGACAGTGAGAAAGGGGGGGAGAAAAAAAAATCTCCTGGATCACCTGTTGAGAGAAGAATAGAAAACAAGCAAAAAAAACCCCAAAGCAACATACTAAACACAACACCATCGCATTAATCTAGCTAAGTGTAAACAGCAGTAAATACTAAAAATTCAATGTTGTTGTGCAGCACGCAGGACAGACAGCGCACAATGTGCTTTGAAGTAGCAGCCAAGAAAGGTGTAATTTAAGTCTACGAGCAGTGAACATCCGTGTGCATACCTGTGTGGATCAGCGCGCTTGTATTCAAATGGTTTCCACATGTAATTGTATGCAAGAGGATGTAGCGAGCCATAGCCCCGTCCCCAGGGCATGAAGCAGGCATGGAGGAGATCCAGGCCCCAGACATCCAGAGGCCCCAGAGTGCGAGAGCCCAAGGAGGACCACCGGAGGGGCATCCGTGCCACCCTCATGGGAAGGGCTGAGGATCCCCAGACGAGGCGTCACCCAGTAGCCACCGAGCAGAAGCTAGAGGGGGCTGCACGGGCACGCCGGTGCAGGACTGGAGCTCTCTGCCCTTTACCAATCCAGCCACGGGCCCATCCATCTGGCCCATCAAGACTCACTCTCATTTCATCAGTCCATAAAACCTTAGAAAAATCAGTCTTGAGATATTTCTCGGCCCAGTCTTGACGTTTCAGCTTGTGTGTCTTGTTCAGTGGTGGTTGTCTTTCAGCCTTTCTTACCTTGGCCATGTCTCTGAGTATTGCACACCTTGTGCTTTTGGGCACTCCAGTGATGTTGCAGCTCTGAAATATGGCCAAACTGGTGGCAAGTGGCATCTTGGCAGCTGCACGCTTGACTTTTCTCAGTTTATGGGCAGTTATTTTGCGCCTTGGTTTTTCCACACGCTTCTTGCGACCCTGTTGACTATTTTGAATGAAACGCTTGATTGTTTGATGATCACGCTTCAGAAGCTTTGCAATTTTGAGACTGCTGCATCCCTCTGCAAGATATCTCACTATTTTTGACTTTTCTGAGCCTGTCAAGTCCTTCTTTTGACCCTTTTTGCCAAAGGAAGGGACGTTGCCTAATAATTGTGCACACCTGATATAGGGTGTTGATGTCATTAGACCACACCCCTTCTCATTGCAGAGATGCACATCACCAGGGCTGTGCAGAGAGGTTTAAAGGGGCGGGTGCTCAAAGTTAAAAAGGGGCACATTGAACCAGGCTGAATAACAACAACACACATTCATCAAGAATCTAATATGGGCAACAAGGCAAAGCAAACATCGCCGATGTTTTACCTGATGGGTACATGGTAAATGGCCTGCATTTGTATAGCGCTTTTCTAGTCCTTAAGGACCCCAAAGCGCTTTACACTACATTCAGTCATTCACCCACAGGCGATAGCAAGCTACATTGTAGCCACAGCCACCCTGGGGCGCACTGACAGAGGCGAGGCTGCCGGACACTGGCGCCACCGGGCCCTCTGACCACCGCCAGTAGGCAAACATGGGGTTAGTATCTTGCCCTATCTATCCACTCTGTGCAGGGGCAAAGCTTATTAAATTTTTAAACTGTAGAGATACAATCATTTTACTGTTGTAAAATCCAAATTTTGTCTTATTTAAAATATAAATCTAATATAATCTGCTTCTTAATGTATGTTTTTTAAAATACAGCGTGTGTTTTTTAAAATATTATTATAATGCATAATTATGTGGACATGCATATTAGATCGTTTTTTAGTGAAATATAATCCCTCCAGAAAGGCAGGAAAAGCCCGGAAACTTACTTTAAAACTAAATATGTTCCCTAAAACGGTGACAGAGCTACAGACCCATGACAGCCTTACACAGGTAGCCAGCAGCTATGACCAGCACTACTTGTGCAGTTAATAAAAGGACAGGTAATGTTTGTCGCGCTGTTGCACACACAGCACGCTCGTTTGTTTCAGTTCGTCAGTTGCAACAAGACAGCTTACCAACGTGTACGTAATAAGCTAATACTCCTGTGTGCTACACACTACAGTGTGCGCTGTACACCTACTTACTGGTTTTGTCGCATCAGTCTGTGTCTCTGAGTTAACTTGTGTTTCTCCTACAGCTCCGGACCGCAACAAATGCGCGTGCTCTTTGTGAGCTCGTAACCAGCGCGTTCTGCCGTCAAGGGCGATCATTGGTTAAATGTGATCATGTGACTGATGCAAGCCAGATCCTTTTATTTAGCAAAACTGTGATTAATAGTTAAATATTATTGTTGAGGGGCACAGACAGGACTCCGCACGCACACACACATTAAAAAATAATAATAATAATTTTTTTTTTAAAAAGTTGCCTCAACAAAAGGGCACTTTGGGAACCCAACAACAACAACAATCTTTATTTATAGAGCACATTTAAAAGCCTTGGGCATACCAAAGTGCTTTACATCCATCCATCCATTCGCTTCCGCTTATCCTTTTCAGGGTCGCGGGGGGCGCTGGAGCCTATCCCAGCTGTCATAGGGCGAGAGGCGGGGTACACCCTGGACAGGTCGCCAGTCTGTCGCAGGGCCTACACACAGGGACAGACAACCATTCGCGCTCACATTCACACCTAGTGGCAATTTGGATTATCCAATTAACCTATCCCCACAAGCTGCATGTCTTTGGACAGTGGGAGGAAGCCGGAGTACCCGGAGGGAACCCACGCAAACATGGGGAGAACATGCAAACTCCACACAGAAAGACCCCGGCCTGATGTTGGAATTGAACTCAGGACCTTCTTGCTGTGCGGCAACAGTGCTAACCACCGTGCCACCGTGCTTTACATAAAACAATAAAAAATAAAACAGTTCACACATTAACATCAAATTCATAAACGTAACGGATTATGTTCACAGATAAAAGCCACCAATAAGAGTAAACTGCAGCACATAGATTATAGCAAGGTAAGACTGTACCACCATGATAAAAGACACCAATAATGGAAAGATAGCAGAGAATTTAATACAATAGGTCACTGCAAGCAAGCCAGCATTTAACTGGTAGAAAAGGCAAGTTTAAAAAGATATGTTTTTAGCCGTGATTTAAAAGAATGAATAGAATCAGACGCCCGGATGCCAATCGGGAGATTGTTCCACAGCTCCGGTGCAACTAGAGCAAACGATCGATCACCTCTAGATTTCAGTCGAGATCTGGGCTGAACCAACAGTAACTGTGAGGAAGACCTTAAAGCCCTAGCAGGAGCATATGGGTTTAAAAGTTCCTTAAGATAGCTTGGTGCAGTGTTATTGGTAATTTTAAAAGTAAACAACAAAATTTTAAATTGAATACGATATTTGACAGGCAACCAGTGCAGATCAGCAAGGACAGGAGTAATGTGGGCAAACCAAGAAGTTTGCCCACATCACATTACCCTTTCCATCAGGAAAGGGGCGGGTGCTCAAGCCCCTCTAGCCCCCCCCCCCCTCTGCACGTGCCTGCACATCACCTAATATGCTTAATTGGTAGTAGGCTTTCGAGCCTATACAGCTTGGAGTAAGACAACATGCATGAAGAGGATGATGTGGACAAAATACTCATTTGCCTAATAATTCTGCACTCCCTGTAGAATGGCTGATCAGACCATTGTGACACATGAGGGGTAACAAACAAAACAAAATCATAAATCAAAAACGAAGCAGTACAATCTAGTTTGTTAATAAACTAAACACTAAAGAAGAAAATCAAAAACCCCATTAAACCCTAAACTCAAATATTTAATTAAATACAAATACTTTGTTTTTAAAGTAAAGAAAATACACATCCTCCCCTTCAGCAGGAAGTGGTGGTGTGGTCCAATTATCTTCCTTCATATTTAATGGTTTCAAACCCTGGCTACCATCTTTTGTCCAGCAACTCCCAGGGATGATACCAGGTAAGAAATAAAAAGACAAAGGTTGGTCAGAAAGCAAAGAAATGAAGTAGTATGAATACATAAGTAAACTAAATGTGCGCGCTTACAAATAGAACAAATGTATCCAAACCAATCAATAAAGTTATTGGCAACTAAAATGTATTACTATGTTCAAATGAAGAATGAAAATACAAAATTTACCGACTTTAGAGTGTGGCCACGGGTTTGGCCATCACAGAGTGTATGGGTGTTTGTATGTGTGTCATGTTGGTGTGTGAGCCTGTTCAAAGTGCGTTAAAGCCAAAATCTACGAGAGAAAGATGCAAATAATGAAAAATGAACAAAAGTACCCATTCAAATCTGAATTTATAATTCGTTTTTTATCATGTAATAGAGACTTGGAAACCAAAGAAGTCTTGAGTCTAGTTAATTTCATACCCTGAGCACTAAAACTTCAATTAACGTGCTTATCTGAAATTGTTACTGATCGTGTTTTTACCAACTGTCTTTTTAAACTGTGATAGACGGATTTCTTTAATCTTTATTAAGTTTAAACTGTTCCCATGAGCTCTGACCAGTCTGAGGAGCTGAGTCAGTGACAGTGACAAGAAGAGTATGTTAAAAATGAATCATCCATGTCAACTTTTATTTTGACAGCATCTAAAACAGTTGCTTCACACACACACAAAATGTATCTGGCGTCAAACAAACCTTAAAGAATCTTTAAGACAAATTAATCATGTAAAAAAAGTTTTTAAAATAAAGACATAAAAAGGCAATATTAATCCGCTCCGTACGCCATACTTACAAAGTATGATGCTGAAATATTGTCTTTGCACAAAATTACCATGAAATTATGCTGCAGTTAAAATTAGTTACAGTATGATTTATCATTTCCTGTAAAATATATGGTGTTATGCTAAAAATTACTCATGTGTTGTGTAAGATTACTTACACATTAATAAAGACTAATGCAATAATTCATTATTCATACAGTACATTTTATGTTTGTAATCTGACTTACCCCCTTATTTTAGTGTCCCTACCTTTAAATAATACAATTTATATGAATATAATTACTTTGTAACTTCTAAGAAAATACATAAAAATTCCTTTTAATTACAGGGCAATTATGTCCTTAGTGACAAGCCGTATTATGAAGGGTTAATTTTTTTAAACTTAGTTTTTCACCAAATTTTACACTGAGATTTCTAATGTTTATGTTACAGTTATTTTTAATAAACTATTTGGTTAAAGAAATGTTTAAATGTACCAGCAAACCTCTGTGCTATGCATGGTGTTTGCTTTGGGGTTAGGTAAATAAAGAATGATGCATTTTTCTACATTGGGATTAAATAAAATGTTTCATGGGTTTTCATGTTAGTAAGTATATGTTTAAATGTTCTCTGTGTTTCATTCATGTGGGTTTTGCTTGTTTAAACACTAAACATGTTAGAAATATTGAAGTTTAATAATTTTATTTCTACATGTAATTTGGGGTTTATTAAGTCCACAAAGCATTACAGTCACTATCAGATGAGCTTATGACAGAAGATTTACAGTATATACTGGTAAATGTAACAGAACAATACTAAATCATAATGTCACCATTTGACCTGTCAGATGTACAAATACATACAATTGCATGAAAAATATTTGTGTACATCATAATGTTGGCACTCACAGTGGCCTCAGCAATGTTTATTCAAAGTTTCATCATGATTGGTCCACTTGTCTAGGATGAGATAAGGGACTTACAAACACACATACAGCAAAATCATAATGTATATAATTTTCTCACTGCCGTTTGGTGAAATCCTCCAGTCAGATCAGTGAAAGCTTACAGATGATGTTTAAACCAGTCCTACCTGAGCTCCACAACAGCAGCAGCAGCAGCAGGTGATCCATGTCCAGGTAGATGTGTCTCTGCCTGCTCGCTGCTCTGATCATCAAACCTGCTGTCCTCAGTAAGTATCTGCCTGCAGGAAGAGACCAATCACATTTACTTTTTTATCATGAATAGGAAGTGGCCTTACCTCACTGACACATGTTCAGTATTTCCTGGGTGTTTGTTTTTGTCTGCAATGTTGGAAACTATCACATAACCCATAAAACAGAAATTATTTTTACAAATAATAAACTGTTCATTTACCTGTGGGTATAAACACCTGTGGTCATTTCAAATGGTAGGGGGGAAAAGCTCACGCTTTTATAACGCTTTCCTACTCTGCTGGATCACCCAAAGCACTTTATACAACATGACTCTTTTACCAGCACTTCCTACTATCTAATATTCAAACTCTGATTCATGCATCAGAGAGCAATTCGGGATTAGTATGTTGCCCAAGGATATTTGGCATGCAGACAGAGCAGCCGGGGATCAAACCGCCAACATTCTGATAAATAGATCACCTGCTCTATCGCCTAAGCTACAAGCACTTTATAACTGTTTAACCCTACTGATGGTATTGTTTTAGTGGTATATGCATGCTAGGTAAAAGTTCACAAATACACAAGTGTGCACCGTAATGCAGGTCTTGAAACTGTGTGCTAACAACTAGATGAAATCTTCCTTCTTCCTCTGTAACTGAGGAGTGAACACAGTTTCTGGATCTGATGATTTGTTTTTAATGTAGCACTTCTTTTATTTAAACTGTGTGTGTGTGTGTGTGTGTGTGTGTGTGTGTGTGTGTGTGTGTGTGTGTGTGTGTGTGTGTGTGTGTGCGCGCGCAGTGTGAATGTGTGAGTGTGTGGGAGGAGGATGAGCATGACTGATATGCAGAAAGCGCTGTTATCACAGTCAGGACAGGAACCCAAAAAGGGTTCCTGGATGATTGAGAATGCATCAAGACGTCAGGACAGGAACTCCACCCACTGAGAGTGAACGCCTAGACCTCTGACAAAACAACCTGTTATCCATAAGCATGTTTTTTAGTCATTAGTTATTATTATATTTTCTGCATGGTTTGTTCTTCATTCACATCATTCAAGTTTCTATTTTATGCCTCATTTAGTTTTCCTAATTCTAATCTTTGCCTTTCTTAGTTTTAGTTCTCTTATAATCCATCATTTTATTTATTTATTTTACTTTATTCCCTGAGTTTCACTCCACTGAAAATGATCGCACAGCCTTTTTATAGAAACTGCAGAATATTTAAATGAAGAAAAGCTTGTCTCATTTCCTTCACACAGAAAGATGCTCACGTGCAGCACA